TAAATGTATGGAATTATGTTATGTATGTATGTATGGTATGTATTCTATGTAGTATGGTATGTATGTTTGTATATGTATGTATGTTATGATGTAGGTATGTTGTATGTATGTTATGTTATGTATTGTATGAAATATGTTATGTATGTATGTATAGTATGTCTGTATGTATGATATGTATGTATGTATGTCTGGATGTATGTATGTCATGTTAGTATGTATGTATGGTATGTTAGGTATGAGGAGTTGTATGTATGTATGTATGTAATGTATGTATGTATGTAGGTTATGGTATGTATGTAGTGGTATGTTTGTATGTATGAGTATGTATGTATGTATAGTATGTCTGTTATGTATGTATAGTAATGTATGTATGTATGTAATGTATGTATGTCTGTATGTATGTATGTATTATGTATGTATGGAGTATGTATGTATGTATGTATGTTATGTATGTATGTATGCGATGTTAGTAGGATATGTAGGTTATGTATTGTATGTATGTATGTAGGACAATATGTCATGTATGTATGTTATTGTATGTTAGTTATGTATGAATGTATGTATGTTATGTTATTATGTATGTTATGTATGAATGTATGTATGTTAAGGCATGGTAATGTTCATGGATATGTATGTAATGGATGTATGCGATGGCTGCATGTATGTTGTTTTTGTAGTGTATTGTATGTATGTGGGTATGTATGTATGTAAATAGGTATTGTATGTATGTATGTATGTTAAAATTTTTGTATGTATTTATGTTATGTATGTATTTCATGTATGTTTATGTATGTATGTACGTATGTATGTATGTATGTATGTCTGTTATGTATGTATGGTATGTATGTATGTAGGTATGTAGGAATGTATGTTATGTATGGTATGTATTTATGTATGTATGTATGTATGTATTTATGTATGTATTGGATGTAGGTATGTATGGTCTGTAGGTTTTGTTCTGGTATGTAATTGTTTGGAGATTATGTGGTATGTGTGTATGTTATGTGTTGTGTTGTGTAACTGTTTGTGTATGGTGTGTAATGTGTGTATGGATGTATGTAGGTATGTAGGTATGTGTGTGTGTATGTACTGTAGGTATGTATGTATGTATGTATGTATGTTATGTATGTATGTTTTATGTTATGGTATGTATTTATGTTAGTTATGTTATGTAATGTCATGTATGTAGTAAGTATGGTATGTATGTATGTATGTCTGTATGTTGTATGTATGTAGGTATTTAATTATGGTAGGTTATGTCATGTATGTATGTATGTATGTAATGTATGTAGGTATGTATGTACTGTTATGTATGTAATGTATGTATATATGTATGTGTGTATGTTGTATGGTATGTATGTAGGTATGTTATGTATGGATGTATGTATGTATGGTATGTATGTAGATGTATGGTATGGTATGTATGTTATGTATGTATGTCTTTATGTATTGTATGTTAGGTAATGTATGTGTGTAATGTTATGTATGTATGTATTTATGTATGTAACGTATGTATGTATGTATGGTATGGTATGTATGGTAGGTTATAGGTATGTATGTCTGTATTTATGGTATGATATGTTATGTATGTAGTATGTATGGATGTATGTATGGTATGTTATGTATGTATAGTATGTAGTGTATGTGTGTGTGTATGTATGTATGTATGTATGTATTTTTGTTTGTATGTTATGTTTGGGGATGTATGGTATGTATGATGTATGTGTGTAGGTAGATGTATTGTATGTATGTATAGTATGGTATGTATGTATGGTATGTATGTATTTATGTATTATGGTATGTATGGTATGTAGGTAGGTATGTATGTATGTATGTATTAATGTGTATCATCAGTGGCGTTTAATGGGGTGCGCAGAGTGCGGGCCGCCCTGTCTGTCTATCTGTTTGTCTATCTATGTGTCTGTCAATAACTCTGAGATAAACGGTTATAGAGCAATCGGCACTAGATCGGGTAATGTGATTAGTACCACGACTTCACCTTTATATTATATGACATTTTACCTGCCCCCCCCCCCCCCCCCCCCCCCCACCCCCCGCCCCCCCCCCCCCCCCCCCCCCCCCCCCCTCCTTCCTTTGTCTCTCTGGCTAAGCTGGAAGCCCGGGTTAGTGTCCGAATGTTCTGTATTGTTGCGGATTGAAATGTAACTATTACCTATTACTAGGTCGACAGGCACGCATATATAAATTGTAAATGTACTCCTTGGTTTACTTCTTTCGTCTGCATCTACAACCCTATTATGTTGTTTATTATTCCCACGTCAGGCTATAAATCTGGAGCTGGCCTTGATTACTCCGTATGAATGACCAGAAAAAAATTACTAGACAGCAGAATTTAATCGACATAATGTTTTTAATCAACTTCTGACAAAAATTATAACCAGGTTTAATCAAAATTTAAATACTGTTCATTTTAAAGAGAACGAAACAAGAAGAATAAGCTCTATAAAATGAGAATGATTTTTTTTTTTAAATGAATGCT